ACATGCAGCACAGTTGAAAAGTAAAAAGAGCAAAATAAATAATATGCAAAAGACATAATGTGCATTAAGTTAATAAATCTGTAAATGAAATGGGAATACTATTAGAGGAAAAAATGCTTCTGGTGACTGTATATACATAGCTGCTATAACGTAAGTGAGAACACGAACTAACTTGTTTTATGAACGTTAAATGTAACTATGAATGGATAAAATATATGATGTGTCTTTCGTTTAATAAATAAAATTGTAATCATTGGCAAATTGTTGTTATGTAAGATGAATAAAACACTTCAGGATGTGCTGTTATTAAAAATAATCGAAAACATTATTATTATAATGTTATTAAAAATTATATAAATAATCAACTTGTGATTCCGCTTCATCACACCGCCATGTTGTTGATTATTTTTCTATAACAGCATGACAGATTGAGTGATTTATTCCATGCATATTGCAGTTATGAGCTTTTCATCCAGCTCTTTTATGTGAATAAAAAGACACATGAACGGAAAAGCCTGAAATTCGGAAGTAAAAGTTTTAGCGCTTAGCTAGAGTGGAAAACGTGGTCTATCGATGAAGTGAAAAAAAGAGTGATGGAAAACGGGTTTATTGAGTAAATGCATGACAGCATTTCTCCTTTAATCTCTCCTTGTGATGTGATACACTTGTACCAATGTTTCTTGCATTCCTGGAAACATTTCCTGTAGTCGTCTTTTGTCATCATGTCTAGAGGCTCCTGCGTTTTTTTTTTCTTCTGGATTTCTTCCATGGTGGCGAATCTTTTCCTCTTCGGTCTCATTTTTAATTTCGGGAACAAAAAGAAGTTGCAAGGAGTGAGACCTGGCGAATACGGTGGATGGGAAGCGATAGCTACATTGTCTCTGGTTAAAACTCCCTGGTTGACAGCGCAGTGTGTGCAGGTGCGTTGTCGTGGTGTGTAATCCAGTTCTGGGAGCACCACTTCCCCGGACATTTCTTCCTGATGCTTTCCTGTAGATGCCTAAGAACTTCAATGTAAAGTCGCTTAGGTGCGCACGCCGAGTGCACGTGCCGCATTCGAATTCTGGGAATTTTTGGGTCCCCCTTCGTATTTCTGAAACAGACAGGTGGCGAAAATACTGCGCTTCGTGCAAGTTAGACGAATGCCGGGAATGGTTTTCAGTGAAATACGTACTCATTCGGGCTGTGAGCAGACTAGTAACAGATGATGTAGCACACACACGTCAGTCACGCTATATCTACACAGAGCGGCGTCCAAAAGTCTGAGACCACATTGAAAATATGGGATTTATTTAAAATGAGAAAAAACACCCTGAATATCTCATGTTGTTGTTCTTTCGGCTGCTCCTGTTAGGGGTCGTCACAGCTGATCATTGGTCCACGTGTTTGATTTGGCACAGTTTTTACGCTGGATGTCCTTCCTGACGCAACCCTCCCCAGTTTTATCCGGGCTTGGGACCAGCACTGGTAGTGCACTGTCCTGTGCTTCCCAGGCCAGGGATCGAACCCAGGCCATAGCAGTGAGAGTACTGTGGCCTAACCACTAGTCCTCCAGGGACCACTGAATATTTCATATTTAATATTCCGCACTATTTCTAGGTCCCTCTTTAACGTAAGCAAATGTGTGATATTGAGCACGTTAACATGTCAGGGTTTTCCTCATGTCTAATCTCTTCTCCTGGAGCGTGTGATCAGATGACACTCTGATGGATTTGATCTAAAATGGAGCATAAGGTTTTGCACAAACCTGTGGAGTCCATGCCAGCTCGAGTGCACACAATTGACTTCATCTTCAGGATTTGTAGAATTGATCCTGTAATTAATGTAAACACAGATTCCTTCACTACTCTGACTTTTTGACGGAAATTCCTTTTGAAAAGTGCAAAAGGTTTGAATGGAAGTACAGCTCCATATTACAGTCGCTTTCTTTCCTTCCGCTGGACATTAAGTGGATTTTCTACTAGAAATACAGCACTTTGGGTATAGAGTGTACACTGCAATGCCGCCATGTTATACCCGATGTAGTGAGCATCTGTAGTGAAGAGAACGTCCTTCAGGATTCGACTGTACTTGGAGTGAATGTCAGCGATATTAAATAAATTACAATAAATAACAATAAACATTACAGTTTATGATCAAATTAGCGCTACTGCTAATGTTTGCTGTGTTGCTGATTCATAACCAAATGTATTTCGATACTAAATATTTAACAAAATTCTAATTCAGCTTAAATACACAACATTGAATAAAATGATTAGGTAATAATTCTGACCATATTATTATCTAAAGAAAGAAAGAGAGAGAAAGTGTGTGTGTGTGTGTGTGTGTGTGTGTGTGTGTGTTGAATTAAATATTAGCAATGTAGCTATAACCATCCGATTTAGCATTTTCATTACTCTGTCTCTGACTGGACGCATGAAGGAGCGTGTGTTTCTCCACGCCGGCGTTTCTCCTTCCTGCGCCTCCATCAGTGACCGTTACCATGGTGACAGGACGAAAGGTCGTCCTGTGCATGCGTGTGTGCGTGCATGTGCGACACGGAGATAGCATGTGGGGGTGAAAGACACGGAACGAGAGAGAAAGAGGGTGATGCTGGTGAGCTCGCGTGATTCAGACCATCCTGACAATCACCCAGTGTGTCTGAATGTGGCCATATCAGAGTTCTCACATCATGCTAACATCTCATGTCTGTGAATATAAAGGTCATAAACATGTTAGTGGAGTCTGTGTGTGTGTATATGTGTGTATGTGTGTGTGTGCGTGTGTGTGTGTGTGTGTGTGTGTGTGTGTGTGGAGGGGGGGCGGGGGATGGGTGATACTGCATAATCTTTACACACACAAGTGACAGGAATGAGTGAAAGCTAACTGCAAAGCTACCTCTTATCAACGGCTCTTAACGTAATAAATCTTTGTACCCCTTTTGCTAACAGTTGCTATTAGTTACAAAGTACATCGGCTCTGCTAGCTAATGCTGCTAGTTCATTTTGCTGGTAGCTAGCTGACATTTTTGCTAACATTTTGAATAACTCTGCAAGCTAATGCTAGTTTTTTGATAATACTTTAAAGCACTTCAAATAAACACACTTCTCACTTCACTCCTCCGATCAGCTAAAGAGTGAAGAAGCCATTTTTAATGTGTATGAAGACCTGTGACTTGTAGTTTATGTGATTTAATGAAGTCTCAAACGCTCTTCGTTAAACTGACTCGTGTAATACAGCGCTGATGCCGGCTAATGCTAATAGCTTTTGCTAATATTTTGGCTAATAGCTTGTTTAGATGCCAGTGGATAAAGCTAATAGCATTTTCTCCTGATATTTTCTGGCTAATAACTAAAAAGAAATGTTTACCTTTTAATGCTAGCTTCTTACTAATACTTTTGTAGGCACGAAAGACAGTCTGAGGTGGCACGGTGAATATTTTTTAGCACTGATTCCTGGTTTAACTTCGCAGGTTATATTGTGTTAGTTTATTCTTCCAGCCTTTTAAACTTGTACTTAGAGCAGAAGCAGGACTGTACTCTGTACTGTAAGATGCGATTGAAACACTTCCTGTTCTGCTGCACTTGTGAGAAAACGGGTCTCCTGATTCGCAGTGAGTCAGCGGATGTGCCTCATTTATTCTCTCGTTTCTCTCTCTCTCTCTCTGTCCCTCAGTGGCGTGACTGTTTGCTTCACAGTATTGCCCAAGCGACAGAAAAGCGCCAAACACACAACACACAGTGACCGCCAAAAAGAAACCAGACCTGTTCAGACAGGACTAGATTTATATACCAGGTCACGGGGTGTCACGGGGACAGATTTCTGTTGGACAAATAGAAAATATTTCCAGCAACTATGACAGTAATGATGAATGTGTGCTGTTTTTACTGGGTGCTAATGACAGTGGGTGCGTCTCAATCAGCTCCCTAGCTCCCTAGGTAGTGAATCAGTAGATCGTGTACATGAGTTCGGGCGCTGGTAAGGACCCTGGCTCACTACACAGTGGGACACTGATGACAACTCACACTGTAAACCATCACCACTGGCATTTATCAACAACAGGCAGGACTGATATCTTTCTGACATTATATATCGTATAAATTTGTTAGCTTAATCACACGTGTTTCTGTCACGGTGCTTCACGCAGGAATCGTAGGCTAGCTAGTGGATTTTTTTTAAATCATTGAACACTTAAAAGTTGTTAGACTCAAACAAACCGTAGATAGAATGTCAAATAAAGTTAGAAATCGCTAATCATTTGAGAGCTACAGCAATGATGACAAGCTACTTACGTTTGTAGATGAAGGCTGAGTGATCGAGCTGAGACGCTTCATAAAATATGACTTTTTTTCCAGTAAGGGATCATAGTGAGCATCGATTCTCCCTGGGATTGTGGGATTTCGAACGTTCCAGTGCACTGGAAGGATTCTGTGATTGAGACAGCCCTTAAAATGGCCGACTCCCTGATCAGCACCCTGACTGCTGAAGTCGGGAGCTGATTGAGACACACCCAGTTATCCACTTAGAATTCCTGCACTGTCGAATACTGCAAGCTGATTGGTCAGGAGGTGCTGATAAACGTTCCTATAATGCGCCCGTTCTAATACGTTACCGTTTCCATAGTAACGGCTCATTCGCAGTGATGTGTACGGCGCTTCATAAGTGGATTAAAACAGGCGCGTAGTCACCTACACCTCATACGTGAGTATGAGATTTCTGTAACATGTATGGAAGGAGTCTCCAGTGTCAGCGCTTTTTTCACAGTCAGAGGTAAAGCTGTAACTTTACGTTTTGTGACATCTTCAGGACAGAGGAGTGTACCGGAAAAAAAGAGAGGCTGGCGAGGGAACGGCTGTTTATAGCTGCTGAAACGTACGTCAGAACAGGACCTCGTTTCGTGGACGTTCCACAACATTAATTGTAACTATAAACTGATAAAAAGTATGACTTGTCGTTTATTATTAATAAATAAGAAACTGGGTAAATGCTGTGGTGTAAGAGGAGTGAAACACTTTAGGACGTGTTGTTATAGGAAAATAATCAGCGCTGTTGTACCAGGATCTCTGCTTCATCACTCCAGCCTGGCGTTGATTATTTTTCTATTTTTTCTATCCTGAAATGTGTGTTTTCCACTGACTGGGAATGTAAAAGGGAATGGGGTGTAAAGCAATAAAGTATTCACCATTCAAAATCAACTAAGACTGCTTGACGTAAGACTTCAAATAAACAGTTAATGTATCGGAGCGTTCGTAGTGGGTTCGCCTAAACGCTTAGAAATAAGGAAATAACAAACGATACCCGTCAAGGTTTTATCCGAACTTCTTCCATGTTTATTAGGTACAACACGTGCGGGAAAACCAAGAGCAGAGAGACTGACACACCCAGTGCACGTGTACACCCACACGTCTACGGCAAGTCCCAGGGGGAAATATGTACCACACACACACACACACGCACAATTATATGCAAAGTCAGCACAAAAGGTCACTTAGTGTTACCACAATTAAACTACGATCAAAATGAAGTCTTTTACATTAACATGAAACAGTTTCTGTTCAGTCTCTCGGCCGAGGGTCGTGTGGGTGTTTTTGTGTAACAGTCCGCTTCGTTTGAGCCCGAACTGGCCCGCAGTGCGACACAGCTGTTTCTGCTCACTCGTCATATTGCCCTGGCAGGACAGTATGTGTTTCCTGAGTTACAAAAACATCTCCACCCTTCAAATCCCTGCACATTTCTTCAGTCTTTCTCGTCTCTGTTACGCTGTTTCACATCATGTACATGTACTCTCGTGGCTCTGTTTATGCTAGCTTGAATAACTTTCACCATTTATGGCCATTTTCACTTTCACTAATCCTGTGTACATACAGTGACACTTGGATTACATTAACGTCCGGTTAGTAGAACCTCAGCCAATTTGAGACACTCTTTCTATTTTCTTTGGACTTGAGGCTGTTTGAGCTGACATATGAGTCGTTTCTGAGCTGTGTTTGGTGAAGTGTGAAAGCATGAAGGCTGTTTTTGATCCCGGGAGTGGTCCGGATAACTGATCCCCGGTCCTCTTGAAAATAACGGGCTGGGTTTCTCTTTCACAGAAATGTGCTGCATGAGGTGTGGAAGCTTAAATGCTCTCAGCACAGCACACTGAGCAACACGATTGGTTCGACTTGCCACATTACGTCTTACGTGATCCTGCGGAAAGGGTTATTATGCATCACGACACATCTGCGTTTTGTCCCAATCTGCATCTTCATAGACGAGAACGGCTCTTCATTTGCATGTTTTCCTGTATGATGACGTGCCTTGCGTCCAAAAGGCGTCTTTCTTCTCCGCCTGAGTGTTGAAAAAATCTTGAAGTGCTCTCCATTTGCAAACCTGCATCCATACCTGCATGATGTATGGAAATGCACAGTCCATCCACGGTTCTTCTATGTGAAACCGAACCTGTGATAATTAGCCCCGCCCACAAAGATCCCAGAATCCATCCTGGTTGTGGACTCGAGTGTAAAAAACAGCCTTTAGATGTACAGAATCTGTTCTCTTCACATCTCTGTGTGTGTGTGTGTGTGTGTGTGTGTGTGT